CCACTGACCGCCATCACCCGGTAGTCCCCACCACTGGCCACCACCACCCAACAGTCCCCACCACTGACCATCACCACCCAACAGCCCCAACACCCGACAGTCCCCACCACTGACCATCACCACCCAACAGTCCCCAACACCCGACAGTCCCCGCCACTGACCACCACCACCCAACAGTCCCCAACACCCAACAGTCCCCAACACCCAACAGTCCCCACCACCTGACAGTCCCCACCACTGACCACCACCACCCAACAGTCCCCACCACTGACCACCACCACCCAACAGTCCCCACCACTGCCCGCCACCACCCAGCACCGACCACAATAGACGTGTTGGCCGCGGCGGTCGAAGGAAGCGACGAGGGTGACGTCGGCAGGGTCGTCTAGGGGGAGGAGGCGGTGGGTGCCGTCGCTGTTGAGCAGCACCACTGGGTGTCGCATGGGGCACACGATGAACAGCTTGTCATTGCGGGGGTGAAACTGCACCTGGGGGTGGGAAGGGGTTAGATTGGGGGCTACTGAACTTAGGGACTAGTGGAGGGCTCAAGAGGGGGGATGGAACAGCACTTGGGGGACGAGTGGGGGGGTTATTAAATCAGGGGGCAGAGGGGCTCAAGAGGAAGACTAAGCATGTTGCTATATAAGGCAGGCACATTATATACCGTAAGCATGTTGCTATATAAGGCAGATACATTATATAAGCATGTTGCTATATAAGGCAGGTACATTATACAAGCATGTTGCTATACAAGGCCAGTATATCCATTATATAAGCTAAGCATGTCGCTATACAAGGTCAGTATACATTATATAAGCAATTAGCTCTCATGTAAATGGCTTATTACCTTCATGATGGGTGAGGGGAACCTATACTTGACGTCGCAGTCACCCGACAGCACGTCCCAAATGCACACGTTGTTGTCGGTGGACACGGACAGCAGCTTGTGGCCTTTGCGGGACCAGCTGTGTGATATACAGGACAGGTCATACCTCCGTGGCGCTGTAGACGCGGATGACGCGGTCGCCGCAGTTCACCAGCAGGTGCTCCGTGCGCCGCGCGAACTCGATGCTCTTCACTGCTGCAGAGGACGTGGCCTGACCCATCCTGAAGGTGGCCTTCAGCTCCAGGTCCGGGATGGATAGAACTAGCACCTTGCCTTTGCTATTACCTGCAAACAAAGATCTGTTAGAACTGTTTAACCATAACACCAGCACCTTGTCTTTACTGTTACCTGCGAACCAGAGATCTGTTCACCGTCCCTCTAGACAAAAACCACGGCAGTGGTCAAAAGGGTGCCTACAGTCCCTGCACCGAGCATCACCACCCCAAATCCCCACCACCATTTCAATAGACGGCTTGGCCGCGGCGGTCTACGACCCACACTCCCACCCCATTTACCACCACCCAATAGCCTCCACTCTCCACTACCACTTCACCCAACAGACCCCACCACGAATCAGCAGTCCCCACCACTGACCACCATCACCCGGTAGTCCCCACCACTGACCACCACCACCTGGCAGTCCTCACCACTGACCACCAACACCCGACAGTCCCCACCACTGCACCATCACCCAACAGTCCCCACCACTGACCACCACCACCCAACAGTCCCCACCACTGACCACCACCACCCGACAGTCCCCACCACTGACCACCACCACCCAACAGTCCCCACCACTGACCACCCTCACCCAACAGTCCCAACCACTGACCACACCACCCAACAGTCCTCACCACTGACCACAACACCAACCAGTCCCCACCACTGACCACAACACCC